TGCATGTAGCTAGAAAAAGAGCATCAAACTTGGAATATCATCTAAATTATTGATTTTTTTTTTTTAGCATGTGGTGGTCAATTCACATCCTATACCTTCTTGAATTTAATATATTTTACTTAAGCATATAGCTAATATTGACCATTGTTAGTTGTTGCAGTTAGTAAAATCCATGATATGTTTTATATTAAAATTTATACACAATCCATCAAACTAAGGCTATCATTCACATTTAGAGATTTTTATGAAACCTTACAAGAATAAAAATTCTATATGCATGCTCTGATCAAGTTTAATATGCTTGCATGATTTATTATGACTTCATGACAATATAAATAGTCTGCATTGATAAAACTTAGCTACATAAAATTTGCTTCAATCACTTCATCAAATAGTGGACATGAATGTTTGTAATGGATATATATATATATATATATATATATATATATTTATATATATATATATTTATTCTAATATTTATCTATATAATTAAGTAGAAATATGTAACAGTAGATTTATTTCATAATATGTTTTTTAAAAAGATATGTAAAATCTTCATAGATGATTTTTGACTTTACATGTATTTATAATTGATTGGTAGATTAATAACTTGATCAACAAGTTAACCATATATTGATAACTTGTGGAACAAGCTAACTATGTGGCACATATATAGAAAACTTGTCTTGCAAGTTAAGATATGTATCTTGCAAAGTCAACATGTTTTGGAGGTCCTATATGACATTGCCATGTAGCTCCTAGTTAAGAGTATATATGGAGGGAAGAGTAAAGCCTTCTTCACTCTTATCAATGCCTTTTTAGTCCTTATTCTTATTTTAAGACTTTCTAATCTTCTTGTTTTTAATAATAGCTATTTTAGTTTAATATTATATCATCTTTGAATGATTTTTTAGTCTTTTTGAATGATATAAGAGTATATTGAGGTTTTCTTTCTTTAAGCTATGTATCTTTGATAATATTGCACCTTTTATTATATATTTTCTTTACCAAATCTTTACAAAAATTCTATCTATGTATTGCAATCAATTTCTTCTTTATACCTTAGCATATTTACAGTGACTTGCACAAGTACATTGACAAGTAACGAACAAAAACATTTACAAAAACACTAGGTCTCACCTTCATGCTAACTAGAGGAGCACCTAGTTCCTCAATAATTTTGTACCTTTATGCCAATGTGCTCTTGAGCATGTATCACAAACATATCTATAGTTACTCAAATAATATGAATAGGTAAAAGTAGGTTAATTTAATAATATCTTGTAGTCAAGCTTTTTAGAAGCTTTATATATATAATTTCACCTTTATACATGTTTGTTCATAATTGGTAGATTAGAAACTTGGCCAACAAATTAGCCATATATTACACATATTGATAGCTTATGGTATAATGTAACAATATGGCGTATATCTAAGAAACTTGCATTGTAAATTAAAACATGTATCTCACAAATTAAATATGTATTGGAAGTTCTATAAAATATTGTTATATAACTCTTAAATAGATAGTATGTATAGAAGCAAGAGTGAAGCCTTCTTCAGTCTTATCAAGTCATTTCTTGATTCTATTTTAATTTCAAGAGTCTCTAATTTTTTAACCTTTAGTAATAGCCATTCCAATTTCTTATTACATATATTTACTTTCTTATTTCTAATTTGTTATCTCTCTTTGATTCATTTCTAACTTATTTATATACCTTCTTTGAGTTCTTCTCCTTCACAGCATGCACCAAATCACATAATTAACTTCACACTTTTTGTCAAACTCAAACTGTATGTACTTAGGCTCAAAAGTACATGTAGCCATTGCCTTAAAATTGCTCTTGGCTTTCTTGTGAGCTATAGACTTTCATTTTTATTTTTTTCTATTGCCAAGTTAGTTAGCCACATACACTCTTTAATTCCGCATTTATAATTAGGAATAAATTGTCTCTAATTATGCTAAAGGGCATAAAGAATTTATATGAAAATGTGTAAAAAGAAACTATTGAATCTACATTAGATGTAGCTATTAACTGCCTGAGATCATATTCATAAATATTGCCCTCCTAATATTGCCACCTACCATGCGCATGACCCAATATTGCATCTTTTCTTTTGTGATTTCTATATAACAATACGACATTCTAAAGTTTTGAAGCCTAGTTACAAGGTTTTTTCTATTTTTAGTTATTGGTTTAAGGACATGACATGATTTAAGGTGTTTTGATATTATCATCTATAACTAAAGAGAACTAGAAGTAAAAGTTACCTAATCCCATACTTCTCTTTGGAAGCAACCTTAAAGGTATTAAGTTTTGAAACTATTTCTTTTTTTTTTCTCAATACTTACAACATTTTGTGTTCCTTAAAATAATAAAAATAAATTAATAAAAACAAAAATCTATTTAAAATTTAAAATTTATAAAATTAATCAAGCATGCATTTATTAAAATTATTGGAAGAAATTTTATTTCAAAATATTTCACATATTTTTATTTAAGATTTTTTGTAGTTTTTTATTATTATTTCTACCATAAATATCACGTCACAACCATAAATAATAAATTATTTTTTACTTAATTTTAGATTATTCTTCAATTGTAATTTTTTTCAAAAATAAATAAAAACATAGTTTTTTTTTGAGTATTTGTTATTCATACAGGTGGTTGATATAAGTTTAAAAGTCTAGGATACAATACCCTTCAAAAAAACAGAAAAAACTAAGAGAGCTTGTGGATTGCAGATATTTTCTCAACAAAACAATAACATTTTTATAATAGATCAACTCAATCACAGGTTTGTCTTTCTGTTCATTCAGAATCTTCTAATATTTAACAATTTCATTAATTCTTGCACAAGATTCCATTCATTTTATCTTTCTCGTGCACTTTAAATTGTTTAATACAATTCCATGAATCATACATCATATTAATAATTGCAATTATAAAACACTTAAATAATTCTCTATAAAGAGTCTTGGAAAACTCATTCTGCAAACAAGACAAATCAACATTGAATGAATACATTATACATATCAAGTTGAAAGTACAATGTATAATATTCAAACGTCAGTGTTTCCAGAAGATTGACTTTTGACAATGAACACGTCAAAAAGTCATGTGTGTATACAAAAGCATGAAATTCAAAAATAATAGTAGATGTAAGGAGAAGAGGATAGTAAAATAATAAGTATTTTTAGAATATCAACACACCAACTAGAGGCTACCAAATTTCAACCCCATCAACTTCTAGCATTAAAAAGCAAGAGAATGAACATAAATTTCTAGAAAAAGTAAAAATCTAGTCTCTCTTCTCAAGTTGTTGATGGCCAGTGAGTCTCATTTATTGCCAACTTCCAAAGAAGAGAAAGAAAAAGCAAAAGCAAAACTGATTGCCAGCTCACTCAAGATTCAGAAAAAAAAAAACAAACAAACAAACAAACAAACAAACAAAAAAACAAAACATTAATCTCTAGCCCTCTTAGGAAAAATTCTATGATAAAACCCCAAGTAGAGGGTTAAGTAAATGCAACATTGTCTGCAATTTTTTTTCATTTTACATTTATCCTCCACCTCTGATGCCTTGTAGTATATACTTTCTAGCACATGCCTTCTAGCATATACCTTCTGGTGTATGTGTATAGAATCAGAACTCACAAATGGGGCAAGATTTCCTGCACCGTTGTGGGCTACTCCGATCACACAACACGCTTTGCCATCAAGCTCGACGAAGCCAGACTTTCACTGTTCTTAATCACGAGTAGGGCACGAAGAAAACCGCTGCAATGATTTGTCAGGCAACGATGAATCAAAATGGGAGCTCAATCCGTCTGTCTGAGCACAAGTCGTTCGCAGCTTTTTTGTTTCGCTGCGTGAGAGAGAGAGAACTCGGAGGAACAGATCAGTGACAGGAAAATCGATAACATCGTTCACTCCACCAGCGAAAAAAACACACAACTTTAAGCTTGGCCGACAGTGCTCCAGCATAGTCGCACACTGTGTGGTGCAATCAGCTCGATTTTGCTGTAGATGGATTCATCAGGGGGGCGGCCTATGTGGTCCATGAATGCTTGACCCGGGTCACGAGGCAGATTTGAAACCAGGTTGCGTTGTTTTTCCAATTGTTAGGGATGCAGAACCCAATAGAATGATGGGCTTGGGGGTCGTAAAAGCTGTGGGTAGAAGCACAGCTTAAAAACCACAACCACAATAAAAATTTGTTTACAAAAGGTGAAGTTTTAACAAAATCCTCGCTCTGTGGGCCACGTCGAGGACGTGTAACTACACTACTTGTAAATTCTAGAAGTTTTAAACTCACCCTTCAGTTGCTGCGCAAATCATGCACTCTTACGCAATTAGAATTGAAGCAGGGAAACTGGTCCATCACGTCTAGGGATACAGGAAGGCTGACTGTTGACCATCAACCCGGTCAACGAGAGAAATCATGGGTGTGCCTTGAATTCAACGAGAGACGTCATGGCTGTGCCTTGAATTCAACGGAGAGTTGACGGCCGTTTCTATTTCCTCGTAAGAATAGTCGATGTTTGACCAGGAACTCAAATGCTGTCCTTGAATTTGGAGATAAAAGTTCCGAATCGAAGTCTCTTGGTCGATTTGTCAAATGTTGGACAAAACATTTGACAAAACATTTGACAAATCCACCATCGGGGTGGGGGGAGAACATCTTCAACAAAGCTGATCTCATGGTCGTTGCAATGCACTTCGTAGCGATGTCGGGTAGTTTCAGTGTTTGACCCAATTGCAGCAATTGACGTCCAATGGATGCTCAGTTTCAAAGAATTTCTGCAGGGGGATTGGGTTGACTTTAATATGAAATGGAGGCTCCTCAGTAGGAACTAGCCCCGCCCCAATCATGTTGAAAATATCGAGTAAATTGTTGCACTCAGTGTAGATTGACTGAATCCAATGTTAAAAATTCAATGGAACAGGACTAGATTACCCGCATCAAGCACGCATTTGCAATATATAGATCGCCTCCATCCCCTACTCCATCATCCACAATCACCACTTCAGAGTTGCTCTACATTCGATCAGCTGCAGTAGACGTGCATTTCAGTTTATAGTGCGAGAGCATTTGTCTTTGCGAAGATGGCCCACACTCTCTCCCACACCGAGCTCCTCAACTGCGACGCTGCCGATGCTTGGGAATGTTGCAAGCACTCCGACAAGGTTTTGCCAGACCTACTGCCCGAGTACTTCTCCAGTGCTGAGATTCTCGAGGGCAATGGCGGCCCCGGCACTCTCCGTGTCTTGCACTTTGGTCCTGGTACATCTCTAATTCCTTATTTCACTTACCACACGCACACACCTCTGTCATCACAACCGCTTTTGCGCGTACATTACGCTCTTATGTGCTCTAACTCGCACACCGATCGGCCCCTTGTATCAAAATGTTGTGTTCAACACGAATTTGATCAATTAGGTTCAAGTCATTTCCTTCACTGAATTTTTTCTGTTGATTTCACATAACGTTCGGAGGCACAGTTGGTATGATCGCTTTATCCTCGCAGCACAGATTGCTTAAATTGACCTCGATTGTATCCACATGTGCGCTCGTGCAGCCATTCCTCAGGCCGGGGCTGCTAAGGAACGCCTAGACAAAGTAGACGAGGCAAGCAAGACGCTGTCCTACACCGTCGTCGAGGGCGATCCCAGGTACACCAACTTCACCGCAGACGTGTCCTTCAAGTCCGTGGGCGACAACCAGACCGAGGCCACCTGGACTGCCAAGTATGACCCTGTCGGTGAAGCAGGACCCCCCGAGCACATCAAGAACATCAGCATCCTCATGTTCAAGACCTTCGAGAAGGCCATCCAACAAAAGAAGACGGTGACGCACACTGAGACTCTGAACGCATCACCCGATGCGATCTGGAAGGCAGTGAAGGAAGAGAACAGTATTCTCCCCGCGGCCATGCCCCAAGTCTTCGAGTCCATCTCCTTCGTCCAGGGCAGCGGCGAGCCCGGCAGCGTCCGCGTCTGCAAGATGGGCCCAGGTATACATATACACTCCCCCTCAATTCCACGCTATGCATAATCTCGTATTGAGGGGACTTCTTTGTCGCTGCAACAAGCTAAGAATTGGAGATTCTCGTGGTCAATAACAATTGTGATGGCGATCTGTGCAGCCATTCCCGGTGGCGGTGAAGTAGTGGAGCGATTAGACATCCTAGACGACGGGAGCAAGGTAGTGGGATGGACAGTACTGAAGGGTGACCCCCGATTCAAACACGTCTCCGCAGTGTTGAAATACGCTCCAGGACCGAGCGATGGCACGACAACTGCAACCTGGACAGCCACGTTCGTGCCAGTAGAAGAAAACGGCACACTGGAGAACAAATTCGTTGTGGGGGTATGGAAGGCGCTCGAGGCTGCTGCCGCCGCTTAAATGCGCGACGGCACTGGTGGCACCGAGCTCCCCAATAGTTCGCAATTGGTGCCGGGATCCACCGTAAGGTCGCATTTTGTCTAACTGGGTTGTAGAATTGCAGCGACTGCTCGCTATCCCCATCGATTTGGCTGAGGTGGCCGCACCCCTTCTCCACTAGATCCTCAGCATTGCTGATAAACGCCAATTTAATGGTCTTACATAATCCGCTATAGTGCGTTACGTAGATACCCATCATGTCTGTAAGTTGCAGAGTTTAATGAGCATATTTGAGGTTGTGTATAAATCATTCAATGTGCTTGCTTGTCAAATTTGTTGGTGGGCAGTTCGTCAGCCGAGTTGTTCGAGAGATTTGAAGTCGCTAAGTTGTTACAAGATTACTACTGTTGCACTTGATGTGTGCATTTGTTCCAGTCGGTGGTGGTTGTGGGAAATATGAGAAATTTGGAGAGATTTAAGAGAGCAACTTTGAGCATTTTTCTTTTTTTATTATTATAATTATTCATTTGGGTGATTGTAAATGTAAAAACATCAACATTTTTCTACAATCACATTAATCACATAAGTTTTGTAAAGTGTATTGATGTATGTTAAAATACATATATGTATATATATATATATATATATATATGAAAACATGATTTTTTAACATAATAGTTCAAAAGTGCAAATATAAATGAATTTATAAAATAAATAATCGAAGTTTCAGAAATATATATTTTTAAATTAAAGGTCGAATTCAAATTTCAATGGTGCAGTATGTAGTCCATAGTATTATTTTTTTAATATAAATGTATAACAACAATAATACAGTTAAGTAAAAAAAATTGTATTAATTCAAACAACAGCATAATATATTTCAAGCTTACACTTACTAATTATAAATATGGTACATTTATTAAATTATATCATAGTAATTGTTATAGATGTGTATGTTACTTAAATAAATAATAACAAATAGAAAGTAATACAAGTAGAGACAATAAATAGTTTAAAATCAGTCCAAAGAGCATGTCTATTATTGGACTTAATTCAAAGTGATTTAATGTACTCTTTAAACTTATTAAAAGTAATTTCAAATCAATTTTGAATTATTTCAAACAAATTTGATCCTAGAAACACATTTTATATGTTATGTGCATAGAATTTTTGAATTTTATAATTTTATTCAAGTTTGATAGTCATTGCTTAACTACAATGTAGGAATTTGATGACATTAGTTAATTCAATGAATAAATATATTTCATATTTTTAATTAATAATTTATATATATATATATATATATATATTCAAAATAAGACATAAACAAGCAGAGTCACTATAGAAGATATCAGAGAGACAAATTGTAAATAGAATCAAGAAAAAGCTAATAATCTATTATCTAATGGCATAGAGGTATTGGAAGCATTATAAAAATAATGATAGCAATTGCAATTTTTTCTTTTAGAAATGAGTCATATAGACAAGAAATAATGTATAGCTCTGTGATATATGACAGATGTTTTATTGGAAAGAACAAGTTAATACAAAGTAAGAAAAAAATGAGTTTAATATTAACATTTAATATTTTATGTATACGTATTTATAGGATTTGTAAAATTTTGTTTTTTTAGCAAGATTAATAATTAGCCACTAATATATTAGTTTAAAAATTTTAAAATCTAAAATTGCATCACAAACAACCTAAATTATATAAACCTTTATTTGCTCAAAATCAAAGTAATATTCTTTAAAACTAATTAATCTAATTAAATATGTATTGAAATAAAATGTATTTATATTAAAATCTTTTAAAAAAAAAACTCCTAGTGTTTAATCATATTTTTGGACATGGATATTACACCTAATGGTATTTTAAATATTTTATTTTAAAAGTAATGATTAGAATTTAAATAATAGTTAATTAATTATTTTTTTCTTAGATATTAGACATTATGCTTCAAATGACCTATCAAATATCTTTGTGTATGGAACTTATTAAAATTTGTAGTTAAAATCATTCAACAAATCTTGGACTTTGTCAACTTGTAAATAATTTGGAATATAATCTATTCTTATGGAATTTATCTCTAAAAGAAAAAAAATAATGCTACAAATATCCACTCTACATAAGTAAATAGGAATAGATAAATAAATAAATAAAATTAATTAAAAATATATTAGATAGACCAAGAAACCTTCTTTAAGGAGTTGTCTCATGATGTGGCATAGAGTGCCAAATTCTGTTGGATGTATGTAATTTGGTTTGATTTGGTAGTTTTCCATCCACTTAGCTCTTTCTATTAGTTGACTTTATTAATGTCAACCAAGATTTGAAGACTTAGGTGAAGAATCCTCTTTGTCTTGATATTTTTGTCAAGTCAAGTCTTTTAAATGATTTTGACGAGAGAAAGATAATGTTGTAAGGTTTTGCTTGACTATGGTGATTTGACCATTTAGTAAAGCTTTATATAATATAGGGTTTTCTCTACTCACGCTTGGATTCTTCCTTTGAGGTATAAGAGGTAGCTCAACTTAGTTGTGTGTAGATTTATCATCTTTTTTTGAGAGAGTGATGGTTGTGCATTTGTATTTGGTTTAGATTGTTTATTATGTGGTTGATTTATGGCACTTAATGTGTTATCTATAACAATCTTTGTTTATATGATAGGTCATTGATGAAGCATTCTAGATGTAAATTAGATCTATAAATGTCCTTGGATACATTTCTTTTATATATCTTGTATTATATTCTAAACAATATATATATATATATATATATATTTCTTTGAAATAAGTAATTTTTAATGTAAATTCTGATATGAAAATACATCAGTATAATTTATGCATATTACTATTTTAAAATAATGACATATGATATTGTGATATACTGATTTATTTGATGATTGTTTCTATAATTCTATAAATATATTACTTCCAAATGTTGAATTTCCTATCAAAATTTTATTATAATTTTTTTTTATTCATTTTCTAATTAAAACTCATTTTCTAAATAAAAATTTAGTAGAAAAGTACAAGTTTTTATATAATTTTTGTGGTATAAATAATGATTTCTTTTTCCAAATTTAATTTATATGAAACACTTAATGGCATTTAATATTTGTGAACTAAATTTTTTATATGTTTTTTAAGAATTATTATTGCACGTGCAAAATCAACTTCAAGTGCCTTTTATTTCATCAGCTTCAATAATATTAAAATTATTATGATTTTGCTTCACTGGTGTCAATGACCATAAGCAATGAGGAGGATTAGAAGGAGAACGGATGCCACCTCAGCAGTACTAGGTACAGGTGGTAGGTATGTGGACAGCCACGTTGCAGGTACCTAACCACAGTCCCCAGAGGGAACGAAAAATGAGGCCCATCGGAAACTGGTTTTCGTTACCTGGATGGAGTCGTCGCCGTCAGCGGACGACGTCCATCTTTATCGTTTCTTACACGCTACTCGCCCTCGGCCTCCGGCCTGCTCCATTTGCTGTGCTGTCTCTCTCTCTCCTTGCTATGGAGTTAAGCTTAGATCGCACTTTCCGGCACGCTGTGATTTTTCGTCGGTTTGGTGGTTGGAATTATGTACCACTATTTGCAGGATTGCTGCGCCGATCCTTGTCTTAGGATGATTTGAGTTATTATACCGCTGAAAATGAAGTGCTAGTTGAGAGGATCGGCGGAGGTGACGTTTGCTGGTGAGTTGAGAGTTGGGCTCTTGTGTGTGTGTGTGTTTGTTTTTTTTTGTTTTTTTCAATTTTCATTTTTCATTGAGTTTAGAAGTTAAGCGTGCGAGGATAGAGCGGATTGTCTACTCTGAGCAGGTAGAGTGTTTTCTTGTTGGAGATAGGCGGGCAAAGAGGATGGGTGGTGTGGTCTTGTTTAGTGGAAAAGATTGCCTGCCGGATTGGTCGGCTTATTTCTTTGTTTTCGATCTGCGAAGAAAAGTGAAGTTTAAGTTCTTGAAGGGCTGCAAGGTCTTGAGAAATCTCTGGATTATTGTCGTTTGTTCGTTTACAGCGTTGACTAAGATTGCGGTATATGGAGTGGTTGAAGTTCGGTTGGATAGTGTAGAAAGGTGGCTTGGTAGTATCTGTGTATGCATTTGTGGTTGAGGTTTATGCTCTCTGTATACGCTGTTCTACCGTTCAGTGGAGTTGGCTTTCTTTTTGTGTTTCTGTTCGTTAAAACATTAGAATCATGTGCGCCAAGTCGCTGTATTTTGAATCCTTGATTCCGACAGAAAGTTTCGCTTGAGTGTTGGAGTTTGAGAGCGTTTGGTATCTTGCATACCGGAGGTTTAGGCATAGTTTGTGTCAGCATTTTGTTGAACAGTTTTTTAGGTTATGTTCGTCCTAGAATCCTCGAACCCTTATATATTGATTAGTGACGAAAAGTTGCATAGAGCGTAGATTGCGTAGTTGCTATGTGCTGGGCTGCGTGAGGTGTCTTCATATATTCTTGTGCAGATCTCTCTCTTATTACAAGATAGCGTAGTTCAAATAATAGCTATTATAATTTATTTGATTTTTGAAGAAATGGTGAATTTGCTATGTGCACCAAGCGGATCATTACCTCCGATCACTTTTCTTGCAGCAATATCTCATTTGGCAGGTTTTTTGAGCTACATTAAGCCCCCTTCTTGGTTAATTTGCCACTGACGTCTTCTAAACAGTGGTTCCATACACTCGTTTTCCGCTTAAATAATTCACTCTTCATGTTTTGTTCACTGTCTCATAGAGTAGTCGAAACAGTTAATGTTAACTTCTTACTTTTATGTTGATTGCCGAATGTGCCTTGAACCATCCCTCTGTAACTCTTTCTTTCCAACCTTTGATCTGTTTCTTTAGCATGCGCTACTCATTTGTTTGATAATACGTGCTGCGTCGTGTACAGCATGTTTCAGAATTGACATTTCTTTGTTATTCTTTGTTCTCGTTGTTTATTTGCATTCTGCCGCACTCCACAATTTGCAGTATCAGTTTACATCTTATTTTGAAATAGTCTGCTCTCTCGCCTTGTCGTAAAAGATATCGGACAGTTCACAAGTAACTCATTTTAGAACTGGTTGTAGTTGTGCTTCTAACTAAGCGTACGCATGACCATTCGGTTTAGCGGTTGTTAACGTTTTATGGTTTGATTTATAAACTCGTTGCCTGGCGACTTCTATTGGCTTTGGATTTCGGATTCTAGAATGTAGACCATATATTGAAGTCTGCTCTTGAGTACTCTCTCGTCATGGACCCTTGACATTTCCTGCTTCAATCTGATTCTGATTAAACCTCAATCATTGAAACGTGTCGAACTTGTGTCCTTAGGTCTTCGACGTTCGTTATTTTGGTGTGCGAGCTATTCAGTGAGGAACTTGCAGAGTAGGTTGATGAACTACTGGAGCTGGACTAGCAAGACTCTGAAAGTGTAGACTGAACCAATTGGAAAGTCGGACAATTAGATAGGATAGTGGGTTGACTGTAACATTTCTTCTATAGCAGAGGGTTGCGAAATAATGGATCGCGAGGATGTAAATGAAGATACAAATGGGCTTCAACGGGAAAGTGAGGATTCACATGAGAATGGTGGACAGCAAACTAGGCAGAGGCGTACAGACATTCCTCCAAAAGTATGCTTTTGCATTTCCTCCCGCAGACCAGGTTTTAGGGTTTCTCCTTTTCAATATAAGAAGTATTTATTTTATTTTATTTTATTTTAAAAAATTCTTGTAACAAGATGTTGGTTGGTTTAAACTCCAGGTGGTGAAGAAGACGAAAGAAATAATTAAAAAACAAGCAACCGTGATTGCTAAGAGTGCAGATGAACATGAAGATTTTATTGCGAAGGTAAGTGTTCATGAGCCATTTTGATATTTGGATATAACGAGTTCCCACTTAATTATTCTTGTGCTTCAATTTTTTTTTTACTTGTACTGATATGTGGTCTTTGCTCTTGTTTGTGAGTATGCAGATTATGTATTGCTTGGGTGTTGTCTCCTTTGGAACATTCTGCTTTCTGTTGGGATCAAGTATGTATTTTTGATCTTATTCTCCCCTTAAATTATTTGTTTGAGCTGAAATCTTACATCTTTCCTAGCTGTTGACTTTGGTGATAATCTTTTTCTTTTATTTCTGTGAAGGATATTCTTTTTTGAGCAATTCTCATTTGGATTACTAGCTACTTTGTTTGTACTGAATTGGTTTGTTTTAATCCTGATCAGGGCCTGATGCTATCCCTAAATTGTACTGCCTCTTTTTTATAACTGTGGCACCTTTGAGATGGATCTATTACCGCATGAAGAAGTGGCACTATTATTTCTTTGTGAGTTTACTCAAGTCCTTCGCTACAATTTAATTGCTTCATCAAGTGTAGAGCTCAAGGTTCAGGGTCTTTAACCTGTACCCCTCGTGGATGATCGATGTGTTGCTCATTGGGGCTGTGCCTTGTTTGATGTAGTTCTAGGACTTAGTGATGCAGTGAATCGTCTGCATTTTATCCTTTTGTAGACATCCGAGCTCCACTTTTATGATTGGTTCTGTATATCATCGACATTTGTAGTCCGTTCTCACATTTCATAGTAGTTGAAGTCTTTCATGTAAAGAAACTTGTGAAAGTTTTATTCATTCTTGACATCTTTAAAGTGCGACCCAACATAAAATTGACAAATCGGAGTTAATGATAATGATCTTACGTCGTATTTTCTTTAGCCTTCTCTTCTCATCTCAGCATCAGAGGCGATGAACATTTATTAAATCTTCCGTCATAGTGTGGTTCTACATTACGCTTTAAATCCCACCCCCTTTGCTTTCACTTATTTTAATTCAAGTTTGCTCATATGGTAGCCATACCTATTGTTCGTTATGTACGCAGGACTTCTGCTATTATGCTAACACTATTTTCGTAGTGATGCTTTTATACTTCCCTAAAAATGACAAGCTCTTTCTTGTTTGCTTTTCATTTGCTGAGGTTAGTCCCATCCCCACCGAATATCTTAAATCTTTTTCACCGATCCTGTTCTTAAATCTTGTTATAACAAAGGACGTAGTAGCCTCTTGATAGTTCATACTCACGCTGTCCAATTGTATGTTTTTAGGGACCGCTGGCATGGGCATTGATCGTTTGGCGCTGTAGTCTTGTCTTCAGCTCCTTTGACAAGCTCGTTAGTGTTCTCATCCACTTACTCCCAGGTAAGTATTTTGTATGAGTTTCAAATATTCGTTGATTGCTTGTTTGAGGTTTGTTGCTGTTTTCCTCTTTTCATTTCGTCGAATCTTAATGGATTTTTCTTGCTTTTTCTCATTTTTCGTTCGATTTTTAGCTGTGTTGTATATCGTTATATTACATTAATACGCAATTCTTGCAATTTAATTTTTTTGCTTCTTGTTCTGCAAGATCTTTATAACACGTCGATTGTGTACTGGATTAATTAATTATAGTGTTCTTTTTGCAGGCCTCGTCTTCTACATTATAAGGTGGTGGGACCCGGCTAGCTTTTCTCATCATGCAATTGATGACACTGGTCCCTGGCCAGCATACCCTCTGCTGGAGAACAATCAGCAGTTGTGGACGTGGCTTTTTGTTGTCCCCCTCATCGCTTACACTCTGTGGCAGTTGTTGTATCTACTTGTTGTGAACGTGTTGAGGCGGCAGCGATTGCTCAACGATCCGGAGGTCATGACGTCATTTAGGTTGATCTCTCTGCCTGTTTATACACCCAATGATCTCGTTTCTGCAAGGATGTTAATTAAATGTTCTTGCTTACCTCAATTCAATTTGGTTCTCACACGGTATACTTTTGGAAAGAAAATTTAAATAATCCTCATCATGTGTTTGTTCTTTGAGCAGAGAATTGTCGCGAAAGGCACAAAGATCGAATAATATTTGGTGGCGTCTGAGTGGGGTGTTGGGTGACAACAATCGCGTACTCATGTATTGCATCCTTCAAGGTATATTTACGATTCTCACTATGGGCTTAACTGTTCCGCTCTTCAAGTCGTACCGACTTCATACGGTGTTCCAGTGCTTGAAGGTCGCAGCTAGTGTTTGGAATGGTGGTATATTCTTCTTGGATGTAATGCCTAGGAAGATAGATGCCAAGAAGAATAAAAAGTCCAAAGCCCCCAACTTTCCAGTTTCTATGAACAGTACTGGCTTGCCATTAGAAGGTGCTTCAGGTTGTGATCCACATCTCTCATCTGATCGTAAATCTAGTGATGGAGAGTCAGGCAACAACACCGATTAGGATCTCTCCTCTTTCAATGTGGGCGCAAATGAATCTCAAATAGCTGATTTTGTCTGTAAATTGTTGTATTGATTTTCCGCACGAAGGTTTGACAGTGTCAGAGCTTCGTATTACGTGTTGCTCTATCGTATGCCTGACAAGCGATATCCATGATCGGATCGAGATGTTTTGGTTTATTATAGACGAATGAAACGTTGAATCTGTGATTTAATCGTGCTCAAACCCGGTCTTTCAAGATGTATGCATGTCAGGCTGTGTCTGGATGATTTTACTGATGTTTAAAATGCTGCATTTCGATATTTATCTTGTGTCAATTGGCTAGGTTGGTTCCACAGAGAGATGACCAATATCATGACTTCCACATTTGATGGCCTTAGTAACTCATGCAACGTACCACATTTTCATAAGTAATGCTGCATTTTTGAGATGTTCAGCTTGTATTACAATCAAACATTACAAAATCTGCACATGATTAAAATGTTGGTAAATAAATAAATTCAAATGAATGAAAGTGAGGATACCAAGCACCTTCATTAAAATATGAATGATTGTCAAAGTAATTGGGAGCAAACACTTATATAGGTAGATATATTATCAACAAACATAAGAAGCATGGAATATTTTTACATGATTCAGTTCTGACAGCGCATGTTTAAACAGTCTCAGCAAGGATCACGATATGTACATTTAAGCCACAATGAGCATTCACTTTATTTAAGCTTCTTAAATGTATATGTTAACATTGTGAATGTTCCAACATATTATAGCCCTTTACAATATTTGATGAGAATATCACTTCAAATTCATAACTTCATTTGAAGATTTTTTTATTTTAATTGCAAGGTGCATTCGAATGTCAAGTAACCCCACTAAAACATCACAAAACTCCCACATTGTTGAAATTGCCCTTCGGCTTGACTTTGTGAAATTACCCACGAGATTGAGTTTTGAGCAAACCACTTCTTTGGATACAAAATTTAAAATGTTGGGGAATGGATGATAATTAAAAGCTTTGGTGTGAGTAGCAAGTAAGTAAGGTTCTTAATGCACATACAAGTATTCTGTAGATTGCACCATGATGGAGTCAAGATTGCTAATCAGAAGAAAGAGCTGATTTCTTCACATATTTAGCGCTTTTCACCCTCTCCTTTGATTTCGCCAACCACCAATTGTTGGCTTCATCTATTTGAGAAGAAAATCGTGAAAATCACATCATCTGTGACTTTGTCATTCACCCATTAAAGGAGTTTTTCAAGATGAACGAACCTCAAGGCTCAATATCCTCTATAACTGTCTTTGTGTATCTCCTCGTCGAGAGATGGTGTTGAGAATTGAGATGGTGAAATTCATCAAATACTCGCATCTGCTGGGTATTTAAGGGGTCGCTTAGTGAAATTCTGAAAGTGAATGTTACACTTATTCTTCGTGTAAGCAACAGTAGGTTGTTCACTATCTGTTGGATTGATTCTTCTTCGGACCGTCATTTTTGACTTCGTCTTAATCAGTAAAGGTTAAGTAAATTACCATCACAACTATTGTGTGCATCTTTCCAGTCAACGGCATCTGTTTTAATAACAGGAGTGGCAGCGACATTGAAATGTGTTGTGATTCTCAAATGAAGGTTTACTATGCTTCTGAAACTGAATTATTGTGCAATGAGAAAGCCATGGTATTGAAGGACACCATGTATTGTTTTTTCCGCGTTTTTATTCTTATTTTTGGTGTCATCAGCCCATTAGTTGTAAAACCGATACACCCAATCGATAAGGCAACTGACCTTGCTGAAGTCCTATCATTAAATTTCCTGCATTACCTGTAGTTTTTGGATGATAATTTGTTCACTGTTTACCTGCGTTTCTCACAATGCTGCAATTTAAGTCGTTTTCTTTGCACTTCCTCAGTATAATTAATCTATTTGAATCCATCCACCTCCGCATTTCATAATCTAACATGTCACTAAATAGGTTTCAATAAAATTCGGGGAAATCCTTATCAAGATTCCCGACCGCAACCTCGCCAGAGTACCCAGTTGGAAGCTCTCAAGTTGATAAAAATTGAAGTACGTAAGTCTAGGATTTCCTGAGCACGTCTTCAAACGGAAAAACTGCAAGGATATCAGATAATAACTCAGCAAAGTAAGTCTGTCAACCATTTTCTCCTCGCTCTACTAAATCTGCGAGCTCTCCAGGTTGGTTCCGAACACATCGACTACGATATTAGTAATTGATGGTTTAAGAAGGGACTATTTCTGCAAAAATTAACTTCTGAATATACAGAAATGTAGAACACCAGAGAGATATTAATACTGTGTTTTGTTGTCTTCGCAATACTGATGTCAGTAAATCTGCTTTGCATTAGAACTCCATCCCTTTCTTTCAACAAACTACCTTTCGGAACAGATGAGTTGGTCAAGGCATTAGCAGGATATGAGAAATTGAGGGCACAAATGGCACTCCAATCAGCTGTTATGAGTGTTGATGTTAAGGCCTTGATTGGCCTGGGCAGTCCATGAATTCTGTACCTTTATTTGGTTGCAACGTCCTGAACAACAGGTTCGTGTTATCCAGATGTTCTTCAAATCATCCAAAATATGCAACTAGAAATTAGCATGTTTCAACAGCATGTTCTAGCACTTCATCTTTCGATAAAGCACACAAAAGTGAATTGTAGGTTGAATACTTGATTTTTGTGTTTTGGGCACTGTCACGAACCCAAATAAAAGCGAGCAATAGTGGCATCAGCAAAACATAGACAGGTTTTCCCAGATGTACCAACAATGCGTGGACAATATTCATGCGAAGCTCAAAATCCCCAGATTCTAGCATCTTCGTCTGCGATGGTTACAGTAGTATCTGAAAATCAAGTAGAAATCTTCTCAACAAATAAGAAAAAGAAAAACTCCAATTTACTAAAAGTTCTTAACTTGAGAAAAGTGGCTCTACATGGATCTCATAGAGCACAACAGAAAGAAAATTGCGCCTCAGACTGTCTTGTTGGATGATGTAACCTTGTCTATTCTCTCCAACAGCCGGTGCAAAAGGTTTCCACTTTCAACACAAAACTCAGACTCTTCTGTGAGATACCCGCTTTGGTTGTTTGAATTATATCACAACCCTACGCGCCATCCAGTATGCCTCTACTGCTACAGAAATTTACACGGCTATCCGAAGAAGCACAGGGAACTGCGGCACTCTCCACTAAAAGAGAAAAATTCATCAAGGGAAGCCAAATGTAACTTATATTCTGAGCGGTTCGGTTCCGATGCCCTTAATACTTTGCTTGTTTTGTGCAAATGTACCAATGGTATCAAGGGAGTTTCAATGACCGCTGAAGAATATCTTTGAGAAAATTGTAATTACCATCCCTTTCAAACTTAGAAATGCCCTTGAGTCCATGACTTAGCAAAATCGCTGCTGCCATTGAACACCTGGTCCGAAAGCTCAGCGAGAAGACCGTTCACGGTGAGTAAGAGAATAGAGGAGCCGAAGATGATCCCTACCACGACCCCTGTGGTGCCCAACACTTTTTGGAACTGCGGCCATTCTACGAGTTTTGTTTCCTCCCATACCCCGCTCCAGAAATCTTTCGGATCAGCAGACTGCTCTCCTCGCCTGATCCGCAGCTGCCTCAACTGCTCTCCAATCTCTTCTGGAGACATCTGCTTCTCCTGCGTCGCAAACTCAGCCTCAGTCACTGCGTCGACGGCCAAGTTATCACCCCCTGATGACGACGCAGTATCTTCTCCGTCGCTGGTGGCTTCAGATGGGGTAGTACTACCTGGCGCAGGTGGGTTTGAAATGTCTGAAGTTTCTACATTCTCCTGCTTCTGTTTCTGTGCAGCTGGTCGCACACGGAGTGATAACGGCGCCCGAATCTTGGTACCCTCGATAGCCTTTCCTGTCAGATATCACCCCGCAACACTAATATTATTCCTCGACCGAATTTGGTATACGATTTCACGAGATATGACATTGAGAATTGTGAATGGTGTTCCCGAAAGAGGATTGAAGGCTACAAATACGATTCTACGCATGGCATGAGGTGGCCCAAATCTCAATTCCACCACCTCAAAACTCCAAACGACTAGGGGAAGCGACACTCGCCGTGCCAAAAAAAATAATTCAGAAGTCTTACCACCTCCATAATATAAAAAAATCCTCCAGCTCGTCTAGCAGGAAAATCCATAAACAAGAAACAGAGGTGGAAGCAACCAAACTCTTTCACAACAGGGAGTGAAGACATGAAACTCACCGGCGAAAAGGGCATACGTGGGCTTCCACTGCGAGCTTTGAGAAGATGCAGTGGAGATGGGAGCACACGAGAGCGAGGAGAGATTCGTCATAAGGGCGGAGTTGCAAGAGAGCGCCATCGCCACCACGATAGCTCCGAATCCAAGCTTTCGCTGACGCTACTTCACATTCTCATCACCCAGCAAGCAGCGAGTGTCTTAACCACACACAGGCTGTGGATGAGCATGAGACATACGGTATAAGTATACCCTCCCAGGCTTCACCAAATATGAGGAGCATACACCCGGATTGGGTACTTTTGACATGGTCAGGGTATGATAACTGATAAACCCTAACAGGAAGTTTTTGCCTTCAAACCCACACCAACAGCACCGCGCATTCCCTTTTGCCTTGCTGCTGTCACAGCTCGAGCGGTAGCGAGGCCAGTTGAGGCGATTTCTGAACGTAATCACGATGGTAAGTGCGAAACTCCTTCATGATTGTGTGTGGAGTTTTGTTCTTGTCGCCGATGGTGCTGTGTCAGACTCAATTTAATGTTATTATATATCTCACAGAAGGCTCTCACACTACATTTAGATACATATCTGGGTTATGTGGGAGGTGGGCTTATAGTAGATCTGAATACTAGTTTTTGTGAGAACTACGTATTGGACTTTACTTTAGGGTTTATTTGGGGTGACTCTGATGGAGGCTTGCATGGGTTTTCTAGGTGAACGTTCCGAAAACCAAGAAGTCCTTCTGTCCAGGGAAGGCGTGCAAGAAGCACACCCTCCACAAGGTCACCCAGTACAAGAAGGGAAAGGATAGTTTGTACGCACAAGGTTTTGTTCTGCTTTTTCTTTTTATCACTTAATGGTGACTTACTGCTCCCTCAATTTCACCTGTAACAATCAGAATGAGAAGGAGTACGGGGTGTTTTGTTTTTCCAGCATCTAACGATAATTGTCTCTCAGAACTGGTTGTATGCATTGGGGACGGAAACGTTAGTCCATTGGTGTTGACGGGCACATGGTTTTCATATCTGCTCTTCCGCTTCTTTGAGATCAGGGGTCAAATTTTAGGATCTGCATGTGAAATCTTACCTATCCTAGACCTGAATGACGTCAGTTTTTCAATTTTTAGAAGTACAATATATGATTGTATGGCAGGTAAGAGGAGATATGACAGGAAACAATCAGGATACGGAGGTCAGACCAAGCCTGTCTTCCACAAGAAGGTATGTTGCGTAATCAGCACCTGATGAAGCATGGGCAGTTCACTCTCAGAATTTTAGGATGTCTCGTCAATCCTGCTATCTCAGTGTTTGTGTTTCGTGTAGATACGTGAACTCCATTACGATTTCTGTGATAACGAAATAGTGGAATTTCGATTACCTCAATGTTATAGGCTAAGAAATCATCTATGAACACACAGGATTTGTAATAGCAGAAAGTTCAGGTCATTGCTCGTATTGTCAATGATTTCTGGTAGTAAAAAACAGGACTAAGTCATCTTCTCTGCGATTTTTGTTGTTTTCTTTTCTTCTTCTTTTTTATTTTACCTCAGGCTAAGACTACCAAGAAGATTGTACTGAGGTTACAGTGCCAGGCTTGCAAGCACGTGACACAACATCCTATCAAGGTAATTAGTCCTTTACTCTGTGCGCACTATGAGGTAAACACTGGTGTGTATGTCATTAATACATAATGATGTTTTGTTGTTCATTCGTGTAACATGTGTGTTCGTTTAATTTTACAGCGATGCAAGCACTTCGAGATCGGAGGAGACAAGAAGGGCAAGGGAACACAACTCTTCTAGACAGTGTTGTTAGAATGTTCTCCTTTTAGAATGCGGAAAGTAAGATTCAGAGAAAACTGTATGTTGTGGTGATTGGAATTGATGGTTTTAAGCTTCTGGATGAAAGATTTGATCGTCCATCTTGCATGTTGGTTCGTAGCGCAGTTTGCTTTCTCTATAAATCTTTTGTGATGGTAAGTTGATTGTCTTTTTCCTAGTTGGACACTTCAAGGAATCTGGAGAATGTTAGTTGATTTAATTTGAATGCATCATCTTAGTGGGTTTTCTGCCCAAATTTTTTGATGTGAAAATGTATTGTGTCACTGCGTAGAAATTATTTCAAATCACGAATTGCGCTTCTGGTTTTTATGGTGAAGTCAAATATATAGTGTAGGTTTTTAAAGGTTCTAATGCCGAAATGAAGATCTTCTATAAATCCTCTACCTGTCAATTTTCTGATGACGATCTTGCTTTACCCCCTTCTCAGAGAAGCAATGACTTCAATATCAACTGAGTGAAATACTCCAAAGAAAAAATTGGTTATATTGTTGACTTCTCCTCAACAAAGCTACTGGGTGGAGGTGCTTGCTTGTCACGTCGGAAACACTCTTATTTACATCAGCTTGCCTGTGGCGACATCACTGCATTACATACACAAATTCCTTGCGTACTTTGAAAGGGCAGTGAAGAGGAGCAGAAGGTAGCAGTATGAACATGAAGAATCTAGACAAATGAGTAGGAAAAAGAATGCGAAATGTTGAAGTATATGTGTTTTAATAACATTCTGTACTGCTACTTTGCATGCATATCTATATTTAGACTTATATATATACTGTGTGAATTGCACTTTTAAAGGCATCTTCAATTATTGTTCAATCATTCATTTAACTTCATTCATATTTCTAATTTGCAGGGTTGTTTTACCATATCTCTCGTAAATATGTTCGTAAATACATTTCAGTGCATGTATGGAAGTACAAATTTCAGTACTAATGTGGAAAAATATTTTTTACGCTAAAATTCAGATTATACAAAATATCATCTATTATTCTACCATCTATATGAAGTGTCCTATAATTTCTTCGGCAATAAATTAAATAACTATCTTCATTCATTTATGAATATTTGTAGTAAATTATTGTTTTTTTTAAAAAAAGAAATCATTTTTTTTTTTCAATTTTATAGTGCATGACTAGTAGAGAATGAAAAAAAATTTGAAAAAAAATTGAAAAAGAAAAAAAAAAAAAAACAACAACAACAACAACAACAACATAAGAGTACAAACATTCATTTATTAGTATTTTGAACATAAAATCCAAAATACTACACAAGCGAGAGTAAATGCACCATAGAGTTCACCCAGTGGTCATAGATATGGAAGAAGAATACATTAATACCTATTTGAGGACACCACATGGTCAAGAGCAAAAATGCATCCAGGAGACTTAACTAGAGGTGTCTATTTATCTTTATTTACTTTTTAAAGAATCTTACACTTGTTGTTTGTTTGTTCTGTAGTTAGTAGGGTTGTGAAACTTGGTCACAATGTAGTTACAAAAATGAAACTTGGTCACAATATAGTTACAAAAATGAAACTTGGTCACAATATAGTTACAAAAATGAACACAATAATATACTCAATACCAAATCTAAAAGACCTCATGGTTGAGAGAAAAACACGTCATGAACACACATGGTTTACTAATATATGTTCTTCTACATTGAAATCATTTCCTTAAGAACTCTTCTTTACGTGAACAAACTCCTTTTCTTATTCACGCAAACATAATTTGTATGAAGTAAATGTGTAAACTCCTTCATTTCAAACAAACTCCTTGTTAAGCGCATGCATTGTCAACTTCAACTCCACAAATTCTTCACTCACGAAAACTCTTTACACTGCAGCTGGGCCTGATTTGATTGAAAACATGCTATATGTGCTTGACAGCCAACTTTTGTATTGTGCCTGAATTCTATGCTATATGTCAAGTGCAAGTAACAAGTCGGAATGGATTTTGTTATGGCGGCCATGATGCAAGTGTACATGCAATTCAGACCCGTAGACAGTCGGCCCTCACAGACATAACAATTTGAACTGTTCCTACTATGGATTATGCATTGTGTGTGTATTATGGGTGTAGAAATATATACTCTTTTTGTTTTAACTTTTGTCATACCAGTCTGAGTAGAATAACAATAATGGGATAAAAGTTAGCCTAGTCTAAATATATATATTAACATATATATATATATATATATATATATTGAAATCTTTGTTGTATTAGTTCTCCATGTTATGTATGATTATATCTCCGGATTTGTGTGTGATTGATATGCTCGGAAACGACCCACATTTGCAATGGATTATATATCGATGAAAGACAAACTTGACGCAGCTTCTGGAATTTTGAAGCTACGAATGTTTTTCATCGGATTCCTGCCGGTTGATTCCTTTGCTGTTGTGTGACTAAACAACAAGCGGTTTTGTTGTTCTCGATCTGCATCCACTTACCGATTACAAACCAATTTTTCGGGAAGATCGAACCAGTTTAGCAAATTCTTGCTCAAATTTGTGAGTATCAAACTTGCGTGGATATTCTGAGCTAGGAATTGGATTCGAGGGAAGCGGGGGTTTGGTAATTTCGACGTCGATTATATTACCTAGACCGAATAGCGTTGGACCCAGAGTTAATATGCTGCTTGGCAACGGAGCGGCTCTAGTAAATGCACATTTTTCGGTTGTGGGTAGCGCCGAAAATACTCACGTCACCTTTGAAACCAGATTATGCAACGACTTTGGTCGAGGAATCTGGTGAGATGCCCACGATGTAGGTGATCGTCCTACGGTGGTGAGTGCGTAGAGTAAAAATCCAGGACCACGCATGTGTCGTGTATCATCGCACACTTGCCATGCGAGGACCTCCTGCGCTATGTTCCCGCAGGGTGTGCAACCTAGATCAAGTCTCGCGTCGTATGCGCTTTTCGTTGATGCAATGGAGGTGTATCCACGATTTTCGAGAGGAAAATCGTTTGTAGAGCCGCCGTCTGGAGTCTCACTCGACCCTCGTGAATGACCCTCGTTCAGTTTTAGGGATAACTACTGAGTCCGAATTTCTCCCTTTCTTTCTTTGTCCCTGTTTGTTTATGTTTATGTTTATGTTTTTTTTTTTTTTTTTCGATCCTTCATCATTTTGGTGTACGTGTGTGATACGTCCGACGTAGCCTGTCTGAGTCAATCGCTGCTTTGGTTTAGCAAATGCTGAGCACGGACTCCTATGTGACAGAAAAAAAAGCATAACTTAGTGTTTGCAACGTTAGAAGGGTTTTGAATTCAGAGTTTACATTAGAATTTGGGAGTTGTGAGCAAAACCAATCGGGTGTTTTGTTGACTGAGCGCTTGGCACATGTTTACTGCCGTTTTTCGAGCTGAAAAGGATTTTGGGACGGAGCACCACTGCAGCATTATGTGAGAGCGCACTGTGGAAGCTAGAACGTTAGACCGATGTGGACTTTGGGCGGACTTTTGTTCGAGGGAGTTTGTGAGGATTTATTTACACCAAAATGTCTGTAACGATGGTCACTCAAATTTAGGTTTCTTGGGGTTCAAGCAATTCGTGGGCTGGTCTCCGTTCATCTGGGTCGGTTTGTAATCTTCCTGTGGTATGTTATTCCACCAAAATGTGCTATCAGGGGTCTGGCGAAGGTGGTTCAGAAGCTAATATGCACAAATGGTCGGTCAGATAATTTTCTTGAGTGAATCTTGATGCCTAGGGTGTTGAGTTGGTTTCGACTCTCCGCAAGTTGAATAATCGTGACTGAAAGTACCTAGTTGGGGAGGTTGAGTCGAGATTGAGTGGACCTATTTTTGAAGCTTGAAGCGTTGTCAGCTTGCTTTGAAGATCATTTACGCACTAAATCTTTTTTTACCGGGTCCACAGTAGGAGCAGGCTGATAATGACATTGTAATTGCAGAGAGAGAGAGAGAGAGAGAGAGAGAGAGAGAAGGGGGGAGGGAGAGATGGAAAGTGGGACAGGTCATCGCAGTGGCTCAGGACATCAAGATACAGAGGATGGAGACCGAGCTCGAATTGGTGATCACTCGCAGGAGTTGGCCGATGTGGATCTCTCATCTTCCCCTCGTACTCCGGTCCGGCAACATGTCGCCGGGCTGTATGCTCCTCGGTCAGTTGCTGCATCTTGAATTAAAGCGAAGGGGTATGATTTACAAGGATGTCTGATGATTATTACTTTTCTTGGGTGAATTGAAACTTAGCGTAAGTCGAGAGACCTAGAGTGATATTGATTAATGTATTGTTGCATCGTGAGCAGAAAGTTACCATCGATTAGAACCCGAGAATCTGAGAATCGAAAAGAAGCAGAAAATGGCGATATCGATGGCGAAGTTTTCGATAGGACTGAGAGAGAAACTTTTAAGCTTGAGCTTTATCGCAGTGATCCTATGGTGGATGTCAGAGGGCTCAAAAGGTGATTTTCGATGCAAATTCTACTAATTTGGTTTCCAAAGCTTCATCGTATACTCTAAAGAATTCCTATTCAAGCTACATTTGTACACCTGAATATAGTGTTGTGTATATGAAGTGTGACCAGAGGAACTAAATGTTTTTAGTCACTCATTGTGATACGATTATGGCACTGTTTTCAGACTCTTTTTCTATTTTGTGATGCAGTATGGGAGGGCAGCAAAATGCAATGCCTCACAGCCCTAGGGACCCGGAGGATTACTCGATGGATGATGCTGGCCCTAGTGATAATCCGGGCTATGTATCTCTGTTTATAGAGGTATGAATTGACAGTGCTACTTCAATATATGTCCGTCATTTGTTTCACACAGTAAACTGTATACCTCTGTCTAATTTTCCTTGTCAACTAATCCTCACCTAAGCTCTGGGAGTTCAGTTAAAAATTTCCTTCATACCTGGTTTTAGGGGGATTTTAGAGTTGCGAAGCTTGTGATATGAGGTAGAGTTGATGCTCTTTTTTCACGTACAGCACAAGTTCTCCGTACATCGCTTGGAATGAGTTACCATCCAAGTTTATTCAAAATCAATGAACTGGTACCGCAGAGTTGTGATCAGTTTGGGCATTGTAGAGTTATTGTTATGCAAGTCGATCACTTTTCTATATTTGTACATTCGAAAACACAGATTATTCTCTTTCGTTTTAAGTCAAGTTCCGCATATGTAGCCAAACTAGCTTTCATCTGCAGTGCCGATCTTCGCGGATTTGCTGGTGTTTACTAGCAAAGTTGACTAGCGCACGTAAGCCTACAAGATCTGCTCTACAGTCGTCTTGTTTACTCCTTGCAATTACTTGTGGCTAGAACCAATTTTAGAATAATGACTGTTCGATTTGTGTTGCAGACTCAGATCGGAAAGATGGGAACCTTGATGGGTGTCTTTGTACCATGTTTTCAAAACATCATGGGCATCATCTTTTACATCCGATTTACATGGTGAGTTTAATCTCTTAACGATGAAATAGCACGTCGTGTTTTTCAGTAGGCACCTCAAAGTAGTAATTTACTTAGCTCTCCCCTTCACTCCTGCCATTTGGATGAGATGAAATAGTTCAACTTGTTTATTTTTTATTGTCTTAATTTGTTATTAAAGCAAAGCTTTGACCGAATGAGTTTTGGATGATTGACAGGATTATTGGAATAGCTGGAGTTTGGAACAGTCTCTTGCTGGTCTGTTTCTGCTGCTTTTGCACATTTCTGACTGCTATCTCCCTCAGTGCTATTGCCACCAATGGAGCAATGAAGGTTGGTTTTTGTTTTCTAAAAGCATTTGCATACCATCGTGTTTGATTGAGACTTTGTCTTTAAATCCACATGTTTGATCTAGTAGTACGTAGTGCAGTTGAGGTCAATGAGATTGTACCAACTTCTTGACTGCTTTCTGGACATTTCGATTTCGAGTGAAGGTACATAGCAACTAGGTTAACTGTTGTGCAATGCAGGGTGGGGGTCCATACTATCTGATAGGACGGGCACTTGGTCCTGAGGTTGGCGTGAGTATCGGACTCTGTTTCTTCCTGGGAAACGCTGTTGCTGGAGCTATGTAAGTATAAACTGGCATTCCTTCAATCTTATTATTTTATGACTTTTGTGTTTTTCTGCAAAATTTGGTCACCTTGTAATGTTGCTGTACTTAATTTCATTATTTGCAGAATCCCTCATCTTGGGACGTGCCTTGTAATCGGTTAAATCTTTTAATCTCTTAACTGTTGGCACAACAGGAACATGACTAAAAATTTCTGAAAGAATGCAGGTATATTCTAGGAGCTGTGGAGACGTTTTTAGATGCTATTCCTGCTGCAGATATTTTCCGGCGTGAGTCCTTGAATTCTGCATCAATGATACAAGAGATATACATGTTAAATCCCATGATGAACTTTCTCAGATAACCCAGTTGCTGAAATAGTCGATTACTCTGTTAATAATTTTAATGACCTCGGATTGTAGTTGTTTCGTTTAAGACTTGAAATTATCCTACTGGTCGAATTTATGGAATTTAAAAAATTCTTGGAATTTTTTTGAGTTTCTTGATTTGAGGATTCGAGATCGAAAATGTTGTCGTTGGCGCATAAGTCTCCTGAGAAGGATGGAAGAGGACTTCTCATCTTTTTGTATCTCTCATAAATATTTAAATTTTTTGTGACAGGAACTACAACTGATTTGTATGTTGCGCCTTCCCCTTCGGCAGTGCCCGAAGTACTGCAAAGTCCTAGTATACATGACCTTCAGGTTTATGGTCTTATATTCACAGCTGTACTTTGCGTAATAGTATTTGGTGGGGTCAAAATTATCAACAGGGTCAGCCCGGCATTTTTGATGCCTGTGATTCTATCTCTTTTCTGCATATTCATAGGTATTTTTACAGCAGGTCGGCATAGTGATTCAAGTACGATCACTCAACCTTCTTTTTTTTTCTTTCTTTCTCCCCGCCCCCCGCCTCTTTCGATTCCCTTGTTTGAAACATAATTTTTTTGTACTTTAGGATGCTATTCCTTTGCTGTTAGATTACGTCTTATTTTGTTAATTTTTTTTGTTTGTGTATTTATTTTTAGTGAGTGATGTACTGTAATGGTTTTTGGTACGTAACAGGAGTATTAGACGTTTTTTTCAGTTTTTGCATTGATTTATTTATGAACTTGTGCTTCTTGAAATGATAAACACAGCTGGGATAACGGGATTGAAAGCGAGTACTTTACGAGAGAATTTGGGTTCTCGCTACCAATACACGAATGATGCAGGAATACCTGCTCGTACTGGTTACTATTGGGATTTTGAGTACGTCGTTAATTATATGATTTATTTTTGTAATTTCTCTATGATCAAGGAGAGTGGATTCTATGAATTAATAGTACCAAATATGTCTTATTTTGTTAGCAAGGTGTATCCATTCAGAGAAGCACGCAGTTCTCAGCACATTTCACTTTGATTAAAATCAAGAAGTGATTGAATGACTGCAGGAGCTTACTTGGCTTGTTCTTTCCTGCGGTCACCGGAATCATGGCGGGATCTAATCGATCTGGTTCACTCAAGGACACTCAACGTTCCATACCAAGGGGGACCTTATCTGCTATTGCTGCTACCGCTACTATATATCTTGTTTCTATAATAATGTTTGGAGCTGTTGCTACACGGAATGAATTGTTAACTGACAGGTGCCCTTCGAATTTATTTGATTTTTTATTTTTATTTTTATTTATTTTTATTTTTTCCTTTCCTGCCTCTCTTTTCGCATTGTCCGTTGTCAGTTAGAGTGGTAGCTGAGACGAATATTTGGCTCCAGTTAGACTTTATCTTTTGTGAGATATTGTAAAGGTTTAAATTTCTCTCTAAAGTTCTTTCTTTTGTAACCTTATCGCGTGCTACAGTGTTCTTAAGGATCTTTTGATTCACAATGTGTAACGTTTATTTGTTTGTTTCTAGGTTATTGACTGCAACAATTGCATGGCCAGTTCCATGGGTTGTTCAAATTGCAATCGTTCTTTCTACACTTGGGGCTGCTCTTCAGAGTCTGACAGGGGCCCCTCGGCTGCTTGCTGCGATCGCTAATGATGACATCATCCCTGTGCTGAAGTACTTCAAAGCGCCGGACGATGAGGAGCCTTATTATGCAACGATTTTTACTATATTCATCTGTGCTGGCTGTGTCGTCCTCGGCAATTTAGATCTTATCAGTCCTGTCACGACCATGTTTTTCCTGCTTTGCTATGGAGGAGTCAATCTGTCTTGTTTCCTACTGGATTTACTTGATGCACCGAGTTGGAGACCTAGATTCAAATTCCATCATTGGAGTCTTTCTCTTCTCGGTGCTATCATATGCATCAGTAAGTTATCAGTGCAACTTTCCTTTGATTGTGTTATTCTTCATATTCTTTGGTCCACTTATTTGTAGAAGATGTGTTTCGTTTACCTGATTCAGAAACTGTGGTTACTTGTTCCGATTCGATGCCTTAATGTGTTGAAAATAATCTTTAGGTCCTCCTATCTGCAGTTTCAGTCCTTGGGTTTTGGACGGTCTATAAACCTTGTAATTCAGACTTCCCTCACTTCTTACTTGTTGGCAATTTTGCAGCTATAATGTTTATGATCTCGTTTGTATTCACCATAGTCGCCCTTGCGCTTGCCGCGTTGCTTTATTGGTATGTGAGCATCAAGGGCAAAGGTGGTGACTGGGGTGATGGATTCAAAAGTGCCTACTTTCAACTTGCGTTGCGTAGTCTTCGGTCGCTTGGAGGTACTTACATTTAATGCATATTTGAAAAATTTACTGGTCGATAATCGTCCCTATTTGCTAACATCCTTGAATGTGTTTCCTAGATGCCGCGGTCATCAAGCAAGTGAGTTACTGGTTCTTGTTGTTCTGTCTAATGATGTAGTTACAAATTCCCACTCCTGTCATCTTGTTCTTTCCAATTAAACTGTGTGACCGCTTATTGCTCTCTTTCTGCTTATGCCTTTTGCAGCCACTCCAGTGCATCCAAAAAATTGGTATCCAATTCCTCTCATCTTCTGTAAGCCTTGGGGTATCCTGCCCAGTGATGTTCCATGCCACCCCAAACTGGCAGATTTTGCTAATTGCATGAAGAAAAAGGGACGTGGTATGTCTATATTTGCATCTATCGTGGAGGGAGACTATGAAGAAGAAGCGGAGGAAAGCCGAGTGGTACTGTCCTGATCTCTTGTATTGATGACTTTGGTTACTGCTGTACTGAATTAAATCCATGTATAAATTAATATGAAGACTAGCCTCGTCAGCAACAAAGAATGCATATTGTTTGTGGGTTACACGAGCTTCTTTCACGGTATGCTTTGCATGAAATGGTCCAGTACCTAGATTATTGTTGCTCCTTTTATTTGTTGTCTTCCGGATTAGTTATTGATGACAACTTTATCCTCACCTGTGACAGGCTTGCCAACTACTTTCCACTTACATCGATCATAAGAAATGTGAGGGGGTTGCTGAGGTTGTGGTGGCTCCAAATATTGTTGAGGGTTTCCGCTTGATTGTTCAGGCCATGGGGCTCGCAAATTTGAAGCCTAACATTGTTTGTATGCGCTATCCTGAGATATGGAGGGAGCAGAGAGGTAGCAATATCCCGGAGAACTTTGTCAGTATCATCAACGATTGCTCATTATCCAACAAAGCAGTTGTTATTGTTAAAGGTTTAGATGAATGGCCTGGAGAGTTTCAAAAGCACTATGGGACTATTGACCTGTATTGGATTGTTCGAGATGGTGGTCTTATGCTACTTCTATCCCAGTTGCTTCGTGCTAAAGACTGTTTTGAGAGTTGTAAGATTCAGGTGAGCTATAATTTCACTTCTTTACTGTAGCAGTCTTAAAAGTGACGCTCTTTGCCGTTGATTGAACAATCAGAAGACCAACCTTTCCCTACCAAAAACACCTCAAGAATGACCCACTAAAATTATGTTGACAGGTGTTCTGCATTGCTGAAAAGGACAGTGAAGCTGTTGAGTTGAAAACAGATGTGAAGAAGTTTTTATACGATTTGCGTATGCAAGCTGATGTTATCGTGGTGACAATGAAGTCTTGGGAAGATCACCGCGAAGATGCTCAAGTTGCTGAAATACCAGGACGAGATGAGGCTATGGAAAATTTCTCCAAAGCCCGCAAAAGAATCGCTCAGCAGACTCTTGAATCTTTGAAGAGAACAGGAAGCAGCAGCAACAACCCCTCTGAATCTGCCGTACCCGCGGTAGATGAACAGCAGGTGAAATTGATTTTTACGCTGAGTCTTGCGTCTTTGTTTTGAGTGCAACTTCATTAGTCGCCGTGGTGTTGTAACTGATTGGCACATATTGGAGTCTTCTTCTATGTTTGTTTATATCAGGCCCTGTCTTCGTGTTTTTGAACTATGTTTAAGAGGTCATGTGCTATCTGAGGTTAATTCTTTATTATATTGTACAGGCTAACAATTGTTCTGTTTTGAACAGGTCAATAAATTTTTGTACACGTGCTTGAAACTGAACTCCATTATCATGCGATATTCAGGGCCTGCTGCCGTTGTTCTGGTCAGTTTGCCCCCACCTCCTCAACATCACCCGGCTTACTGCTACATGGAGTACATTGATCTTCTTGTTGCAAATATCCCTAGAATGCTCATGGTCCGTGGTTATAGTCGAGATGTGGTCACCATTTTCACTTAAAGAGAGGGCGAATGACCCTGTTTCACCCTTGGTAAGTGCCGAAGATATTCACCTTGTGCATTCACCACTTCTACTGGATTGTTACTACTGAGGTTACCAACTTAGCTAAGGCGGCTATTGACGATAGATGTATCGCAGTTCCGTTTCCAATCGTTCTTAGGCCTTCATAGAGTCTCAATGGAAGTCTCAAATTTGGATCGACTTCCTGTTCGTTAGACATGCATAGCCCCTGACCATTGTTGGGTAATCCAATTTTTTCTCCCTAGTGCGGTAGAGAAGGGCCATACTGGAGGTGCAGGACATAGACCTGCCCGTTATAGGGTTGACGGACCCATCATTTTAATCAGATCTTTAATCGGTTACCAAACTGATAAAATGTACCAAATCCAAGATCTAGTATGAAGTTATCCTTCTTTCCAACCATTGCATGAATGTAGTGATGATTAGTCATCAGAGAATTGGGATGCTTTGCAGGTTTTATGGGGCTTTGTTGTCTCAATTATCATTGTATTTGATTGCTGAATTTTCAGCAGGAATCAAAAGTTGTGCACTTTGGACATAACATGTGATGAAATTATTGTATCTCTACTTAGATTTTACGTTTGGTTTTTTAAGTCAAAAAGAGGTAGCAGTACTAATAATGATAAAAAAGCAATTGTGCATACGATTGGAACACTAGAAACCAACGGCACAAGGATGTCATGCAGCATAACTTACAGAAGTATGTGCTGTTAATCTTCGAGGTTATTTTGATATTTTTTTTCTTGAAAGCACCTGTTGCAGTACTCTTATGGACAATTGGGCTGGTCCAATTCAAAGAAATAAGAATTTCTATTGTGAAATGGTGAAGACTTATAATCCACCATAGAAAAAGTTTATTCAAGATAGATGTAGTTGTTTTGTATTTACCTACTTGTAAAAAAGTTGACCAATCTCAAAAATAGTTACAGCATTAATTAACATATGGATAGTACAAAATTTACAAATAAAGCCACAAAGCACATAAAATCTAAATTTGCATATGGAGGTTGATTTTATGTAATTCTCAGCAATTGACTGTATTATTGCAGAAGAGACAAGTCTCTTTGTAAACTTGCTAAAAAGTATATATGTATCTAAAATCTTGTATAAATTTCAGAGGTGACTTTGTGGTGGATATTTTGCAAGGCAATTCATTGTTGAGAGTTTTTTGGCATGACAATATCATTAGCCAACATTACATAAATACATATGACAATTGCAAGAAGTGTAACATTTTTTGAGATTATTTAAACATGTTTATTATTGAATATTTTTATTTGAATCTTTTAAATGGGCCATTCAGAGTATATAATAATGATTGAATAGGACATTATCTTGTTACCAAACGATTTTTTAATATATTGATACTGCAACCAGATATCCTATAAAACTTTGCAAGAACAAAACACTGTTGGTTTTAATATAATGTAATTTCATCTTTTAAGCAATCACAAGATTTATTTTTTAGACAATAATAATTGATTTTAGAAATCTATTGGATAGAGCTCCTAATCAAGAATAACAATTTTTTAGTCATGTGGTATAAGAATTGATAAGATGTTTAGATATTAAGCATAAGACCATTATATTATATAAGTCTAGTAATGATAGGTTAGTGAAAAAAATACCAAGGATCTTTTTATTTTATTTTATTTTATTTTTATCAACAAAATAAAAATTCCAATTAGTATTAGAAATTTTAGTTTAAAGATTGATCAAACTAGTGGATTTAAAATGCTATATTGAATATTTTTTATAATATTATTTATTTAGTATATGATTTAAAATAGAATAAATTTTATTCATTGATTCTAATGTAATGGCTCTAAAATAAATTACAAGACTTTGATAAGAATTAGGTGAATCATAAAAATTAAAAAAATTGGTCTACTTGAATGAATAGGATAAATTACAACCATAGACCCTACAAAACATTGGTGTAAAAGAAATACAGATGAAGAAAATATAGAAGAAGAAGATTGCAATACAAATGAAGATATTTCAAATATTTTTCATTTTATTTTTATTATTTGAATCACAAATAATAAAAAAATTCAATATACTCTTGTGTCACTAAAAAAGATTATATATATACTCAAAGATAATATAATATTAAAACTAGAATGGCTATTACTAAAAACAAGAAGACTAGAGAGTATTGTAACAAGACTAAGAATAAGAAAGATGTTATGTTGTAATATGGCTATTAGGTAAAAGAGAAAAATAAAAATTATATTATAGAAGAGCTTAAATGAAAATATTTTAGCAAATTATCTCAAAAATATAAGTGATAGATAAAGAGGTAGGAAAATTAATTAGTTCTAATAGTACCTTTTTATAAAAAGGACTTCTACTTACTTTGTAGGGCCATAAATGAGGCAAATCAAAGTAGATAAGAAAAATAATTGATAAAGACATCTTTAGGAAGGAATTGAGAGTAGCTTTTAGCAAAAACTACATTAAGAAACTAAGAATTGATACTTGAAAAGAATTGGTTGTGAACTATGGTTGGAATCAAATCCCAAGGTTCAAAATGTGTACCTATAGCAATTTTGAAGTTTCTTAGTTGATCAAAGAGAATTTAGAATTTGATTAGGATTTGATTAGGACTTGGTTAGGATTTATTAAGGTTTAGTTAGAGTTTATTTAGAATTTTTATTTTTAATATTTTTTAATTTTTTTTTATTTCAATATTCTTTTAAGATTTCTTTATTATTTTTTTAGAATTTTTATAAAATTATTTATGATTTCTTTATGTTTCCATTATAATTTCTTTAAGATTTCAATTGGATTTGATCAAGATTTGATTCGGATTATTAAGCTTTAATTGAGATTTAATTAAGATTCTATTAGAGTTGTTAAAACCTTATTGTTGCAATTTCAATTTTATCTTCCACAATCAAGTATCCAATTCATTCTCAAATAAGACTTTATGTAATACAATATATTTGGTGAATCCAACGTGAAAAAATTGAGATAGAAGAAGTTTATTTATTTATTTATTTTTGAATTATAAAAAAGAAAGATAAGAGAATTGAAGGAAGATCTATAGGTAATATTTTAACTAGAGCTTCAAGTAAAGTTGCAAGTGGAGCTACAAGTAGAGGTACTAGTAAAAGATAAGGTATGTATTTTGATCCTAACTTTGCAAGCATATTTAAATCCTTTTTTTTTATTTATACAATAGTAACAAGTTAAAGATTGCAAAGACGATATGACAAACAAAGCTTTACAAGTGACTATGAACAAAATTAATTAATTTGAAGGAATAGATATTATAAAGTATTTAAAGTGTTATGTTGAAGAAATAAAGTTGAAGCATGTTTCTAAGAAGGAGTTAGTTCAATTATTTGAATTAGCTTTTGCTTTAAAAATAAGAAATTACGTCAAGTCCATTCTAAGAAATTTTAGAGGTTCATGAAAGAAATTTTCTTAGGTATTGAAAGATGATTTGTTTTTAAAAAATATTGACTGGATTACAAAGAAGTCATTTTTTGAATAGATTGAAAGGCCTAAGAAAGATCTTTAAGCAATAAATTTTTTGAAGGAGTTTGAGAGATAATATTCTTGTTTATTAAAGAAAGAGAGGAAATTAATATAAATATAAAAAGAAAACATTATCAATAGAAATATACAAGAAAAATTAGAAATTTTGCTTGAAGATAAAAAAAAAAAGAAGTAAAAAAGATAAAGGATTGATAGAAAATTAAAAGTAAGTGGAAAAAACAATATGATTTCTTGTAAAAAAAGAAAAAAAAATATGGTGGATATTTAAAGACCATTGCAAGCATCTAAGGTAAAAATGCCTAGTATCTATTTTAAATCTATGATTCAATCTTCAATGGATATATATAAAAAAGAAGAAATGAACATTGATGAAATCATATATGGAGTGAGAGATTTGAAAACAAAATTTGCAAAACTTAAGAAAAAAAAAATCAATCATCAAGAATATTAATAAGATAAAAATTAGAACCAATAAAACAGGTGCATGTGGTAAGATATCATAGATCATTCAAGTAGGAAGTGTGAAGATTTACAAAGGCGCAATGCAAAAGGGTTTTTTTTAAAAAAGAAAATTGGTATGATACCCTTAAAAGAGTGTAGAGAAAAATTAGAGACAAACTTGGTAAATATATATATATATATATATATATATATATATGTATATATATATATTGGTGACACAATGATTTATGATACTTGGTATTATATAAGAATTCAAAAAATATTCTTATTTGGATAGTTTGATGTCTATAAAATTATAAAATTATTTTAATACAATGGAACCTACATATTATAGAATTAAGGTGATACAATGTTGTATTCCATAATTTTTTTTGAAAATGTATTAAGAATCTTAACCCAATAGAAAAAAATTCTATGATATCTTAAATACCTTATAATCATAAAAATAAATTTTTTAAAAATATTTCTTTCAAATATTTCAATTTTTAAATATATTTTAATTTTGATTAAAAAAATCATAGGAAGATAAAAATTCTAATTCAAATATTAAATTAATTTAGGTTATTTCACTGTATCTTTTTTGGTTATTTAATAATTATTAATTTATCATAAATTTTTAAAATCTTTTCATAAAATCTTAAATACTTTTGCTTAATCTTCTATTCTAAGTTTAATAAAGACTTCTAATATATAGGTCTTCAATTTTAGTAATGGAAGTAAATTCTATTTTTTTAAATAATAAAATTACTTGTTATAAAAAATATGGTAAAGTTTAAAAAGTCGCTCTAAGATATAAGAAAAGATGAAAGTAAAAATACAACTACTTCTTGAAGTAAAAAAATACACAATAAAATAAAAAGATAGTTATGTTTTTTTTTATAAGCAACTTATATTTTTTTCTAAAAAAGTTGTGAATAGTAAATAAAAATCAAGTTTTTTTTATAAAAATTACTATTTATTTTCATCATAAAATACATATCTAAATAGTTGTATATATATATATATATATATATATATATATAAGAGAATGTTAAATTAATACTAAAATTTATTAAATCAATCCACCTATCAAAAGCATCATTACACCTTCCAACTCTTGTTCTTGTTTTCAATTTTTGTTCACCATCTCAAGCCTCCATTCCTTGTTTCCATTTGCAACTTTTGTCTTTTATTTCTATTTTTCTCCATTCTACATCTCCAATTTCCTTTGTGGTTGTATAATGTGTTATCTTACTTGAGAATGCAACAAGCACTTGCTTGTTGAAAGTAAATTAGAAATTGCAAAAAATACAGCGCTAAAAACTCTAATAAAATCTTAAATAAATTCTAATTAAAATTTAAAAATTATAATAAAACTTGAAACAAATCCAAAAAAATTCTAAAAATTTTATATAAGAATCATAAGAGAATCTTAAAAAATAATAAAAATATATTTTTAAAAAATACTAAAACAAAACCTAAGTCAATTCTAATAAAAAAATAACCAAATCCAAACCAAATCGTATTTAAATCCTAATAAAATCCTATTCAATTTCCAAAAAATTATTAACCA